AGGTCTGGCGTGATATCAACCCCCAGGTCTTTTTCTCTCTGACTCCTGAAGTATTTCTCCCAAATGATATCTAGTATCTGGTCTCCTGCTTCCTACCCCTATCTTCATTACATTACATTTGCTTGGGTTAAACTCTAACAACCATTTGTTCGACCATTCCTGCAGCTTGTCCAGGTCTTCTTGAAGTCTCAAGCTGTCCTCCTCTGTCTTAATCCTCCTTATAATTTTGGCGTCGTCAGCAAACATTGAGAGGAATGAATCTATACCCTCTGGGAGATCATTTACGTATATCAGAAACAAGATAGGTCCGAATACAGAGCCCTGTGGGACTCCACTGGTGACTTCACGCCAAAATGAGGTCTCGCCCCTCACTGTAACTCTCTGCTTCCTATTGCTTAGGTACTCCCTTATCCACTGGAGCGCCCTACCAGTTACTCCTGCCTGTTTCTCTAGCTTACGCATCAGCCTTTTATGGGGTACTATGTCAAAGGCTTTCCAACAGTCCAAGAAAAATGCAGTCCGCCCATCCTTCTCTTTCTTGCTTAATCTTTGTCACCTGATCGTAGAATTCTATTAAGCCCGTAAGGCAAGATTTACCCTCCCTGAACCCATGTTGATGGGTTGTCACGAAGTCCCTTCTCTCCAGATGTGTTACTAGTTTTTTCTCAATCTTCTCCATCACCTTGCATGGTATACAAGTTTAGGACACTGGCCTGTAGTTCAGTGCCTCTAGTCTGTCACCCTTTTTGTATATTGGACTACATTCGCCGTCTTCCGTATTTCTGGTAGGTCTCCCGTTTCCAGTGACCTACTATACACTATGGAGAGTGGCAAACAAAGTGCTCCTGCACACTCTTACAATACCCATGGTGAGATTCCGTCCGACCCAACAGCTTTTCTCACGTCCAGCTCCAGTAGGTGCTTCTTGACGTCATCTCTTGTAATTTCGAACCTTTCCAAGGTCGCCTGGTTTGTTGCCACCTCTCCTAGCGCCGTGACCTCTCCTTGTTCTATTGTAAAGACCTCCTGGAACCGTTGAGTTCTTCACGCACCTTTTTGTCATTCTCTGTGTACCTGTCCTCACCCGTCCTAAGTTTCATCTTAGGACGGGTGTGTGTGTACACGGCTATGTCGGTACTGAGGTGTACGTGTGTGTGTATGGCTATGTCAGTACTGAGAGGTGTGTGTACACGGCTATGTCGGTACTGAGGTGTACGTGTGTGCGCACGGTTATTTCAGTACTGAGAGGTGTGTGTGTGTGCGCACAGCCATGTAGGTACTGAGAGGTGTGTGTACACAGCCATGTAGGTACTGAGAGGTGTGTGTACACAGCCATGTAGGTACTGAGAGGTGTGTGTACACAGCCATGTAGGTACTGAGAGGTGTGTGTACACAGCCATGTAGGTACTGAGAGGTGTGTGTACACAGCCATGTAGGTACTGAGAGGTGTGTGTACACAGCCATGTAGGTACTGAGAGGTGTGTGTACACAGCCATGTAGGTACTGAGAGGTGTGTGTACACAGCCATGTAGGTACTGAGAGGTGTGTGTACACAGCCATGTAGGTACTGAGAGGTGTGTGTACACAGCCATGTAGGTACTGAGAGGTGTGTGTACACAGCCATGTAGGTACTGAGAGGTGTGTGTACACAGCCATGTAGGTACTGAGAGGTGTGTGTACACAGCCATGTAGGTACTGAGAGGTGTGTGTACACAGCCATGTAGGTACTGAGAGGTGTGTGTACACAGCTATGTAGGTACCGAGAGGTGTGTGTACACAGCTATGTAGGTACTGAGAGGTGTGTACACAGCTATGAAGGTACTGAGAGGTGTGTGTGTACACAGCTATGTAGGTACCGAGAGGTGTGTGTACACAGCTATGTAGGTACCGAGAGGTGTGTGTACACAGCTATGAAGGTACTGAGAGGTGTGTGTGTACACAGCTATGTAGGTACTGAGAGGTGTGTGTACACGGCTATGTAGGTACTGAGAGGTGTGTGTGCACAGCTATGTAGGTACTGAGAGGTGTGTGTACACGGCTATGTAGGTACCGAGAGGTGTGTGTACACTGCTATGAATGAAGGTACTGAGAGGTGTACACAGCTATGTAGGTACAGAGAGGTGTGTGTACACAGCTATGTAGGTACCGAGAGGTGTGTGTACACAGCTATGTAGGTACCGAGAGGTGTGTGTACACAGCTATGTAGGTACCGAGAGGTGTGTGTACACGGCTATGTAGGTACCGAGAGGTGTGTGTACACAGCTATGTAGGTACTGAGAGGTGTGTGTACACGGCTATGTAGGTACCGAGAGGTGTGTGTACACAGCTATGTAGGTACTGAGAGGTGTGTGTACACGGCTATGTACGTATTGTTCTCTCTCTCCTCTCGTGTACGTTTTCTTCCCGCTGAAGTACCTAAACTTTGACCCTGGATCGATAGCTCGAAATATTCGCTGCATTAAACATGTGGAGCGGTTGTGAGCCCTGACACTGCCAGTTGTGTGGCCATGGTTGTGAGCCCTGACACTGCCAGTTGTGTGGCCATGGTTGTGAGCCCTGACACTGCCAGTTGTGTGGTCACGGTTGTGAGCCCTGACACTGCCAGTTGTGTGGCCATGGTTGTGAGCCCTGACACTGCCAGTTGTGTGGCCATGGTTGTGAGCCCTGACACTGCCAGTTGTGTGGTCACGGTTGTGAGCCCTGACACTGCCAGTTGTGTGGCCATGGTTGTGAGCCCTGACACTGCCAGTTGTGTGGCCATGGTTGTGAGCCCTGACACTGCCAGTTGTGTGGCCATGGTTGTGAGCCCTGACACTGCCAGTTGTGTGGCCATGGTTGTGAGCCCTGACACTGCCAGTTGTCCACTGACATTAACTGTCCATTAACTCCACTGACGTCAATGAGATAATCCTTTCCCTTAAAACCAAGTCTGGTGCCCTTGAGGAGATACCAACTTTAATTTACAAAAAAGCCTCCAGATCTTTAGCCCCTGCTATTGCTTTGCTCTTCAACAAGTCACTTGAACTCCAAACCTTTCCAGATATTCTAAAAAAAGCGAGAGTAACGCCTGTCCACAAATGTGGTGACCCCACAGATGTTAACAACTACAGACCTATATCAATCCTGCCAAACTTGTCAAAAATTTTTTAAAAACTTATATATAAGCAGCTTTACTCATATCTAGCCAAACTCAATATACTTAGCCCTTGCCAATATGGCTTCAGACCCAAAAAAAGCACTAACGATGCACTTATTAGTATGCTTAACTCGATTCATACAGCTCTTGATCAAAATGAGTTCCCTGTTGGGTTATTTGTGGACCTGCGTAAAGCTTTTGATACTGTCAACCACCATAACCTTCTTCTTAAATTACATCATTATGGAGTCAGAGGACACTCCCTACAATACCTCGAGTCCTACCTTACTGACAGGCTCCAATATGTTTCTGTGAATAATACAATTTCTCCCACCCTACCCATCAACATTGGTGTTCCTCAGGGCAGCATACTTGGCCCTCTCCTCTTTCTCATCTACATTAATGACTTTCCAAATGCCTCCCAACACCTCAAACCAATTCTATTTGCTGACGACACAACCTTCATTTACTCCAGGCCTGACCCTCTTGCTCTAAATGCCACAGTAAATACTGAGCTAAATAAAGTCCATCTTTGGCTAACTGCCAACAAACTCACCCTTAACATTGACAAAACTTTTTATATTCTGTTTGGCAATAAATCCTCTAGTCATATAAATCTCAAAATAAACAATACCCAAATTTGTAACAAATTAGATGGCAAATTCCTTGGCATTCTCATTGACCACAAGCTGAATTTCCAGGGACACATTCTAAATATATCAAAAAAAGTTTCAAAAACTGTGGGCATTCTTTCTAAGATCAGATATTATGTACCACGCCCTGCCCTGGTGACTCTCTATTACTCCCTTATCTATCCTTATCTCAACTATGGTATTTGTGCTTGGGGTTCTACTACCCAAAATCACTTACGTCCTCTAATTACCCAACACAAAGCTGCTATTAGAACAATATCCAACTCTGGCCCCAGACATCACTCGGTACCCCTACTCAAATCTCTGAATATGTTAGATATTAAGTCACTGCACATTCTCTCATGTGTATTATACATATATAAAACGCTAAACTATAATGCCAATCCTGATCTTAAAAGCTTCATAGAAGGTTGTAACAGAACCCATGAGCACCACACCAGAAATAAATACAGTTTTGATATTCCTAGAGTACGTCTTAATCAAACTAGAAATGCTCTGCAAATCAAGGGGCCCAGAATGTGGAATGACCTTCCCAACCATGTTAAAGACTGTACCTCTCTCAACCAGTTTAAGATAAAAACTAAACACTACCTAATAAATTCCCTGTAATCTACCTCACTCCTCTATTGTCAACCCATGTCTGTTATTTTCTTTTCTTTTTTTTTTTGTTTTAATCAACACTGTTTGTCAACCTATTGTATTTGTGCTGCTTTTTCAGTCATGTTCCCCCCTTTTTTATCTTTATTTGTATTTGTTCTCAACACTTTTTATTCTTTATGCTCAATTAGTATTAAGTTCTAGATATTAATGTTTTTCTTGCCCGAAACGCATTGCGTAATAGTGGCTTTAGGCATTGTATATACTAGCTCTATCTATATATCAATCCATTAATGTAACATCACTTGTATGTATATACCTTACCTGAATAAACATCTGAATCTGAATCTGAAGTTGTGTGGCCATGGTTGTGAGCCCTGACACTGCCAGTTGTGTGGTCATGGTTGTGAGCCCTGACACTGCCAGTTGTGTGGTCATGGTTGTGAGCCCTGACACTGCCAGTTGTGTGGTCACGGTTGTGAGCCGTGACACTGCCAGTTGTGTGGCCATGGTTGTGAGCCCTGACACTGCCAGTTGTGTGGTCATGGTTGTGAGCCCTGACACTGCCAGTTGTGTGGTCATGGTTGTGAGCCCTGACACTGCCAGTTGTGTGGTCACGGTTGTGAGCCCTGACACTGCCAGTTGTGTGGCCATGGTTGTGAGCCCTGACTGCCAGTTGTGTGGTCACGGTTGTGAGCCCTGACACTGCCAGTTGTGTGGCCATGGTTGTGAGCCCTGACACTGCCAGTTGTGTGGTCATGGTTGTGAGCCCTGACACTGCCAGTTGTGTGGTCACGGTTGTGAGCCCTGACACTGCCAGTTGTGTGGTCATGGTTGTGAGCCCTGACACTGCCAGTTGTGTGGTCACGGTTGTGAGCCCTGACACTGCCAGTTGTGTGGCCATGGTTGTGAGCCGTGACACTGCCAGTTGTGTGGCCATGGTTGTGAGCCCTGACACTGCCAGTTGTGTGGTCACGGTTGTGAGCCCTGACACTGCCAGTTGTGTGGTCACGGTTGTGAGCCCTGACACTGCCAGTTGTGTGGTCACGGTTGTGAGCCCTGACACTACCAGTTGTGTGGTCATGGTTGTGAGCCCTGACACTGCCAGTTGTGTGGTCACGGTTGTGAGCCCTGACACTGCCAGTTGTGTGGTCACGGTTGTGAGCCCTGACACTGCCAGTTGTGTGGTCACGGTTGTGAGCCCTGACACTGCCAGTTGTGTGGTCACGGTTGTGAGCCCTGACACTGCCAGTTGTGTGGTCACGGTTGTGAGCCCTGACACTGCCAGTTGTGTGGTCACGGTTGTGAGCCCTGACACTGCCAGTTGTGTGGTCACGGTTGTGAGCCCTGACACTGCCAGTTGTGTGGTCACGGTTGTGAGCCCTGACACTGCCAGTTGTGTGGTCACGGTTGTGAGCCCTGACACTGCCAGTTGTGTGGTCACGGTTGTGAGCCCTGACACTGCCAGTTGTGTGGTCACGGTTGTGAGCCCTGACACTGCCAGTTGTGTGGTCACGGTTGTGAGCCCTGACACTGCCAGTTGTGTGGTCACGGTTGTGAGCCCTGACACTGCCAGTTGTGTGGTCACGGTTGTGAGCCCTGACACTGCCAGTTGTGTGGTCACGGTTGTGAGCCCTGACACTGCCAGTTGTGTGGTCACGGTTGTGAGCCCTGACACTGCCAGTTGTGTGGTCACGGTTGTGAGCCCTGACACTGCCAGTTGTGTGGTCACGGTTGTGAGCCCTGACACTGCCAGTTGTGTGGTCACGGTTGTGAGCCCTGACACTGCCAGTTGTGTGGTCACGGTTGTGAGCCCTGACACTGCCAGTTGTGTGGTCACGGTTGTGAGCCCTGACACTGCCAGTTGTGTGGTCACGGTTGTGAGCCCTGACACTGCCAGTTGTGTGGTCACGGTTGTGAGCCCTGACACTGCCAGTTGTGTGGTCACGGTTGTGAGCCCTGACACTGCCAGTTGTGTGGTCACGGTTGTGAGCCCTGACACTGCCAGTTGTGTGGTCACGGTTGTGAGCCCTGACACTGCCAGTTGTGTGGTCACGGTTGTGAGCCCTGACACTGCCAGTTGTGTGGTCACGGTTGTGAGCCCTGACACTGCCAGTTGTGTGGTCACGGTTGTGAGCCCTGACACTGCCAGTTGTGTGGTCACGGTTGTGAGCCCTGACACTGCCAGTTGTGTGGTCACGGTTGTGAGCCCTGACACTGCCAGTTGTGTGGTCACGGTTGTGAGCCCTGACACTGCCAGTTGTGTGGTCACGGTTGTGAGCCCTGACACTGCCAGTTGTGTGGTCACGGTTGTGAGCCCTGACACTGCCAGTTGTGTGGTCACGGTTGTGAGCCCTGACACTGCCAGTTGTGTGGTCACGGTTGTGAGCCCTGACACTGCCAGTTGTGTGGTCACGGTTGTGAGCCCTGACACTGCCAGTTGTGTGGTCACGGTTGTGAGCCCTGACACTGCCAGTTGTGTGGTCACGGTTGTGAGCCCTGACACTGCCAGTTGTGTGGTCACGGTTGTGAGCCCTGACACTGCCAGTTGTGTGGTCACGGTTGTGAGCCCTGACACTGCCAGTTGTGTGGTCACGGTTGTGAGCCCTGACACTGCCAGTTGTGTGGTCACGGTTGTGAGCCCTGACACTGCCAGTTGTGTGGTCACGGTTGTGAGCCCTGACACTGCCAGTTGTGTGGTCACGGTTGTGAGCCCTGACACTGCCAGTTGTGTGGTCACGGTTGTGAGCCCTGACACTGCCAGTTGTGTGGTCACGGTTGTGAGCCCTGACACTGCCAGTTGTGTGGTCACGGTTGTGAGCTCTGACACTGCCAGTTGTGTGGTCACGGTTGTGAGCCCTGACACTGCCAGTTGTGTGGTCACGGTTGTGAGCCCTGACACTGCCAGTTGTGTGGTCACGGTTGTGAGCCCTGACACTGCCAGTTGTGTGGTCACGGTTGTGAGCCCTGACACTGCCAGTTGTGTGGTCACGGTTGTGAGCCCTGACACTGCCAGTTGTGTGGTCACGGTTGTCAGCCCTGACACTGCCAGTTGTGTGGTCACGGTTGTCAGCCCTGACACTGCCAGTTGTGTGGTCACGGTTGTCAGCCCTGACACTGCCAGTTGTGTGGTCACGGTTGTCAGCCCTGACACTGCCAGTTGTGTGGTCATGGTTGTCAGCCCTGACACTGCCAGTTGTGTGGTCATGGTTGTGAGCCCTGACACAGCCAGTTGTGTGGTCACGTTCACACATGTGGCCCCATGAACGTGGCCGCGTGAACGTGACCCCATGAACGCGACCCCATCAACGTGACCCCATGAACGTGACCCCAAGAACGTGACCGTTTGAACGTGACCACGTAATTATCTAAGTGTAGTTACAGGATGAGAGCTACGCTCGTGGTGTCCCGTCTTCCCAGCACTCTTTGTCATATAACGCTTTGAAACTACTGACGGTCTTGGCCTCCACCACCTTCTCACCTAACTTGTTCCAACCGTCTACCACTCTGTTTGCAAAAGTGAATTTTCTTATATTTCTTCGGCATCTGTGTTTAGCTAGTTTATATCTATGACCTCTTGTTCTTAAAGTTACAGGTCTCAGGAATTCTTCCCTATCAATTTTATCGATTCCTGTTACTATTTTGTACGTAGTGATCATATCACCTCTTTTTCTTCAGTCTTCTAGTTTTGGCATATTTAATGCCTCTAACCTCTCCTCGTAGCTCTTGCCCTTCAGTTCTGGGAGCCACTTAGTAGCATGTCTTTGCACCTTTTCCAGTTTGTTGATGTGCTTCTTAAGATATGGGCACCACACAACCGCTGCATATTCTAGCTTTGGCCTAACAAAAGTCGTGAACAATCGCGACTTTTATTAGACCAAAGCCGGAATATGCAGCGGTTGTGTGGTATGCAATGTGAACGTGACCCCATGAATGTGACCCCGTGAACGTGACCGCGTGACCTCTAGACCCCGTGAACGTGACCCCGTGAACGTGACCCTGTGAACGTGACCCCATGAATGTGACCCCGTGAACGTGACCGCGTGACCTCTAGACCCCGTGAACGTGACCCCGTGAACGTGACCCTGTGAACGTGACCCCATGAATGTGACTCCGTGAACGTGACCGCGTGACCTCTAGACCCCGTGAACGTGACCCCATGAATGTGACCCCATGAATGTGACCCCATGAACGTGACCCCGTGAACGTGACCTCCATGAACGTGACCGCGTGAACTCTAGACCGCGTGAACGTGACCTCCATGAACGTGACCGCGTGAACTCTAGACCGCGTGAACGTGACCCCGTGAACGTGACCCCGTGAACGTGACCCCATGAACGTGACCGCGTGACCTCTAGACCTCATGAACGTGACCGCGTGACCTCTAGACCTCATGAACGTGACCGCGCTAAACAAGCAGACGAAGAGTCACAATAACGAGGCTGAATACATAATGACCCAACCACTCACCAGAAGATGATGAGAAGACGACGTTTAGGTCCGTCTTGGACCATTGTCAGACCCTGTGAAAGAAGAGGAAGGTAAAGGCAAATATAAGGTGAGGGAAAGGTAAGAATAGGATGAATGTAAGAATAATGAAGGAATAGGATGAATGTAAGAATAATGAAGGAATGTAAGAATAATGAAGGAATAGGATCAATGTAAGAATAATGAAGGAATAGGATGAATGTAAGAATAATGAAGGAATAGGATGAATGTAAGAATAATGAAGGAATAGGATGAATGTAAGAATAATGAAGGAATAGGATGAATGTAAGAATAATGAAGGAATAGGATGAATGTAAGAATAATGAAGGAATAGGATCAATGTAAGAATAATGAAGGAATAGGATCAATGTAAGAATAATGTAGGAATAGGATCAATGTAAGAATAATGAAGGAATAGGATCAATGTAAGAATAATGAAGGAATAGGATCAATGTAAGAATAATGAAGGAATAGGATGAATGTAAGAATAAGGTAAGAATATTCTTACTGCAAGAATATTCTACCACTGCAAACTACCTTAAGCTCATCATCACCCAGCAAAAATCTGCTATCACTACAATAAACTCTGCTTTCAGACAACACTCAGCCCCTCCCTTGTTTAAATCCCTAAACATGCTAAACACAAACTCACTCCACACATTCTCTTGTGCCAATTACATTTACAAAACCCTGTTCTTAAATACTAATCCTGATCTGAAACTCTTCCCCGACAGATGTAATAGAACCCATAATCACCACACCAGAAACAAATATATCTTTGATATCCCCAGAGTCCAACTTAATCTGTGTAAACACTATGCACACACTCTATGGTCATGTTCCATAGACCTAGTCTATAGAACTTACTCAATAACGAATTGAAAAGCAGTCTAACCTACCCCTCTTATTCAAAAATAAACCCAAAAGTACTTAATTTCATCATCATAGTTTGCTACCTTGTGCTTCAAACTCGCATTGTATCCTCTGCTACCCACTCCCCCAATATATGTGCCTAAGCCATTCAACTTCACCATTGTAATCACAACTACTGCATCATCTTATATCATGGTTGTTATGTTGAACACATGTTATACTACATCATACCTAGAAATAATCCTCAAACTATGCTACAATGTACTTGTTGATAATCCTCAAATTTCCTGCCCGAAACGCTATGCGTGTTATTGGCTTTACAAGAATGTAAAAACATCATTGCTATGTACTCTCATAAACCCAATGTACCTTCTTGTATATATATAAATAAATTAATAAATAAATAAATTAAATAACAAGAATGAATGTAACAATAATGTAGGAATGGAATGACTGTAAGAATAAGGTAAGAATAAGGTAAGAATAGGATGAATGTAAGAATAAGGTAAGAATAGGATGAATGTAAAAATAATGTAAGAATAGGATAAATATAAGAATAATGAATAAATTTGCAAATGAATAAATTTAAGAATAAATCTGCTATCAGAAAAATAACAAACTCTGCTTTCAGACAACACACAACTCCCCCTGTTTAACACCCCTCAACATGCTAAACATAAACTCACTCCACACATTGTATTGTGCCATTTATATGTACAAAACCTTGTTCCTAGATGCAAACCCTGATCTGAAACTCTTCCTAGACAGATGTAATAGAACCCATAATCACTACATCAGAAATAAATATATCTTTTGATATCCCCAGAGTTAAACTAACTCTGTGTAAACTCTCAATGCAAATAAAGGGACCTAGCCTATGTAACTTACTCCCCTAATGAATTAAATAGCTGTCCAATCTACCCCGTATTCAAAAGTAACACCAAAAAATACCTAATTTCATCCTCATAGTTTTCTACCTGGTGCTTCACACTCGCATTGTATCTTGTACTACAGTACCCCAAAATATGTGCCTAAGCCATATAACTTCACGGGTGTAATCACTGCCATCGTCTTGTATCATGGTAAATTGTTATGGTAAATTATATCATGGTTGTTATGTTGAATGTAAATTTTACTACATGTACCTAGAAATAATCCTCAAATTATGCTACAATGTACCTGTCAATAATCCTCAAATTTTACTAAAATGTACCTAACAAATTTCTTCAAATTTTCTTACAATGTACCTGTTAAGTTTTTTATTTTTTGCTATAGATTATCGCCTTAATATTATCTGTTAGATTAAGGACCTGTCCGAAATGCTGTGTGTGTTAGTGGCTTTACAAGAATGTAAAAACATCAATACTATGTACTCTCATAAACCCAATGTACCTTCTTGTATATATTTATATAAAAATAAATAAATATGATGAATGAAAGAATGATGAATGTTAGAATATGATGAATGTAAGAATATGATGAATATAAGAATAATGTAGGAATAGGATGAATGGAAGAATAAGAGGAAAGGTACAACAAAATAAATTACAAGGAAAGGTACAAATAAGAGGAAAGGTAAAAATAATTTGGCCTATACATAGACAAGAGACTTAAATTCAGCACCCACATACCATACATAACCAAGAAAGTTTAAAAAACAGTTGGTATACTCTCTAAAATCAGATATTATTTTCCCCATTCTGCTCTCCTCTCATTATACTATGCTCTAATATATCCCTATCTTACATATAGTATCTGTGCATGGGGTTAAACCACTGCAAATTACCTTATGCCCATCATCACTCGGCAAAAATCTGCTATCAGAACTATAATAAATTCCCTGTAACCTACCTTACCCTTCTATTGTCAACCAATGTCTGTTTTTTTTTAAAGAGCGCTGTTTGTCGACATAATTGTATTTGTGCTGCTTTTTCATCTATGTTTTCATTTCTTGTTTTCATTCTACTCATTATGCTCAATTAGTATTAAGCTTGTCATTTAAGTTTATCATGCCCGAAACGCTTAATGCGTAATAGTGGCTTTAGGCATTGTATGTACTAGCTCTACCTATAAGTCAACCAATCTTTGTAAAAATTTATTGTATGTATGTACCTTACCTAAATAAACATTTTATTTTTATTTATTTATAACAAACTATCTTCAGACAACACACAGCCCTCTCTATTTAAGTCCCTTAACATGCTAAATATACACTCCACACATTCTCTTGTGCTATCTACATGTACAAAACCTTGTTCCTAAATGCTAATCCTGATCTGAAACTTTTCCTTGATAGGTGTAATAGAACCCATGAGCACCACACAAGAAGTTAGTTTAGTTCATTTATTATGCACCCCATGCCCATCTTGTGGGCGGTAGTGGAAAGGGTTACAGAGGCACATAATGGGCTCAGGGACTGAACCTCACAATTCATTTAGCTAAGCAAGTTAAAATCTTGATGATCATCAAACCATCAATGGGTTCGAGATCGATCACAAGTACAGTTTCTAAATTAAGCAACTGACATATGTGGAGAGCTAGTGTCACAATTGATATGTTTGTCCTGCACACCGCCCCCATTTAGTGGGCAGTGGTGGATAGGTTAGTCACTTAGTTACTACCTACAGTTAGCAAACTGGGAATATTTGGCTAAAATTTCTGGTAGCAGGTCATTTTGAATGAAATATTTACACATCGTTGGAACATTCATTGTAGAATTGTCTCTGAATTCACATAAATTTTCGCACTCCTCCACATAGTGACAGAGGGTGTGCGAATAATTTTGTTGACAGTGTTGTTTCCACACAAGAAATAAATCTCTTTGATATCCCCAGAGTCAAGCTAAATCTGTTCAAAAACTCCATGCAAATAAAAGGACTCGCTCTATGGAACT